GGACATGGGGTAATGTCCTGAAAAGTCACCTTCTCCTTGTAATACCTATGTTATACCTTTGTCATTATACACATTTATGTCGCACACACACGCACTCACGCGCACACACACTCTCTCACTCACACACACACGCACTCACACGCGCACACACACTCTCTCACTCTCTCACTCACTCACACGCGCACACACACTCTCTCACGCACTCACACGCACACACACTCTCTCACTCACACACACACGCACACACACTCTCTCACTCTCACACTCACACACACGCGCACACACGCACACGCACTCGCACTCACACGCACACGCACTCACACGCACACGCACTCTCTCACTCACACACACACGCACTCACACGCACACACACGCTCTCACTCACACACACACACACACACGCGCACACACACTCTCTCACTCACACACACACGCACACACACTCTCTCACTCTCACACTCACACACACGCGCACACACGCACACGCACTCGCACTCACACGCACACGCACTCACACGCACACGCACTCTCTCACTCACACACACACGCACTCACACGCGCACACACACTCTCTCACTCTCGCACTCACACACGCGCACTCACACGCACACTCACACACACGCGCACTCACACGCACACACACTCTCTCACTCTCACACACACACGCGCACTCACACGCACACACTCTCTCACTCACACACTCTCTCACTCTCACACACACACGCGCACTCACACACACACACTCTCTCACTCACACACACACGCACTCACACGCGCACACACACTCTCTCACACTCACACTCACACACGCGCACTCACACGCACACACACGCTCTCACTCACACACACACACGCACACACACACGCACTCACACGCGCACACACACTCTCTCACTCTCACACTCACACACGCGCACACACACGCTCTCACTCACACACACACACGCACTCACACGCGCACACACACTCTCTCACTCTCACACTCACACTCTCACTCACACACACACTCTCTCACTCTCACTCTCACACTCACACTCACACTCTCACTCACACACACGCACACTCACACTCTCACTCACACACACGCGCACTCACACGCACTCACACGCGCACACACACACTCTCTCACTCTCACACACACACACTCTCACTCACACACGCGCACTCACACGCACACACACTCTCACTCACACACGCGCACTCACACGCACACACACTCTCACTCACTCACACACACGCACACACACTCTCTCACTCACACACGCACTCACACACTCTCTCACTGATGTCTCTAGGAAATAGTTTTTTCCCCTAATATTTAACCATTCACAATATCCATTCAACATTAAAGTATACTTGAGAGCTATCAATTTAAACATTTATTATTAGACTTTAAAAAACAACTTCTAATTTAAGTGAACTTAAAACAATCTTCACACAAACCCATAATAATGTCATATTTAGCTACCTGTGCCCTTCAGCATGTAGGAAATATACAGAAATTGAATAGCTATCAAACACTAAATTCTAAATTAAATAAAGATTAATCCTCAAATCTACAAAAAGTTTCTTCTCTGAGAAACGCGCTGATAATTTGCTGCTTTTATGAAGCCCCTCCCTCAGAAATAGGCGATGGGCTCTGATTGGTTAGCTAGCCCAGTGTGTTGTGATTGGCTAAACCGCCTCTAGTGCGTCTCAACGTCCCGCCCTCTCCTCAGCAGCATGTGCTCCGGTTGTATTGTAAACAACAGCATCGTTAATATCGCTCATCAGTTTGAGCTCGATTGAGAAGCAGAGGATATTATTGAAGAGGATCGTGTGGAACGCCAACTGCACGCAACCATGTTTAACGCTTCTCATAGCTATGTGAAAATAAGTATAATTGTAACAGTTCATTGTTGGAGGAGAGAGAGAGGGAGAGGCAGAGGCAGGGACGCGAGGAACAGTATTGAGAACCGCTGCTTTAGAACACTGATTTTGAAACGTGTGAATCCATTAGAATCGTCAGAAGACAGAATCGTGATTCATACATGAATAGATTATTACGTGCACCTCTAGTTTTCTCTTCCTCTTCTCTAAAGCAGCGCTGCATGGCCCCGCCCCCTTTGCTGCCTTTTCCCGAGGGAGGGGTTTATCTGGGTTTGTGATGTCATGAACCCAGGAAGTAACTTGTTGTAGTCCCTACCAGCTGTTTTTGTAGGCATTAAACTGCCAGAATTGTAAAAGACGATATCTCCGTTTGCATTGAACTTTCAGCTTCGTAACTTTGCAGATATTGTTTATGCTCAAACAGCAACATTACACACTAACTAACGTTAAAAAAGTGAAATCGCAATCAACCACCCCTTTAAGAGCTGCCGCTGCTGAACATGACGCGGATCTGACACGCATCATAGTTTCTCATAACTCTTTACCTTTTCTGACTCATTGCAGCTCTTAAAGGTGCACTAAGCGTTTTTTGCCAAACATTGTTGATATTTGAAAGCACCAAAACAAACATGCCCATACCCCAACAGGACCTCACCCCTATCTTGATAACTCCGCCCCACACGTACATACTCAACCCTGGCAGCGACGAGGGCGGAGTCTGCTATGCTTGCGGCCGCAGCATATTCAAGCAAAAGCCACCACAGATTAGTTGTGTGTGAAAAAACAAAATCAACGTAATTCACCTGTCAAGAAGAAACAAAACAACCTTTGCATCCAATTCCCTTCCACTCCTTGAGTTTCTCCACCACTGGAAAGCTGCTCCAATATTTACGTGGGTCCCACCTCTTGCCTGATCGTAACCCTTCTTTTTAAGGTTTTGTTCCTCTTAAATTATTTTTTTTGTCTGCCATCTCTCACTCTCCAGAGTCAATCTGCTAATATCCGTCCTGTCTAGTAATGATCGGTAGAAGAGAGTGCTCAGTGAGTGCAAGCACTCTCTTCTCCCGATCATTACTAGACACGCCCCTTACTGCTGATTGGCTGTGAGTGTTTGGGACTCAGCTTCCTTTAGTGCACCTTTTAAAGTCTCTATAATGAGCTGCTGAGTTGAATCGGGTGTGTTAGATGAGGGAGACAGTGCTGGGCTGCTCCAGGACAGTTTTGAAAACCACTGCATTTCAGAGACATGTTCTTAAATGTGACTGGTGTAACAAATACTAACATACATGCACAGTTTTAAGGCAGCTTTAATCACCTTTTTGGTAACTTTGACTAAACTGATATAACTGTGACATTGCATGCTCGTCGTTTCATTTGCGCTTTAATCTGAAATGATACAGGCTACAGCGCATGCTGCATTTGTGCGTGCAATTGAACGAGCACAGTATAACGGCTGACAGGACAGAAAAAATGGTTTCTACTGACATATGGCCTGGCGACGTCTCATCTGAGTGCAGTTCACTGTTGTTCTACTGAAGCTCCTCGTCAAGTGCGCGTCTCCCATTTGATGTGGTTGTAAAGATGTTCTGCGTCTAAATAAATGCAGTTCTTCTCAAGAAATAAAGAGAAGCAGCAGTGAGTGGGGTGGCCAACCCTAGCTCCGCCCCTGCATTAAATATTTAGCGCGTTAAACTGAAAAAATGAATCGCCTGCGTTAACGCTCTAATAACTTTGACAGCACTGTTATTATATGAGCTCTGAGATTGTGAAGGGTTTGTAATTGGATGCTGACATTATTATTTTTTTGTGTGTGTGAAGGCATGACTCTCCTGGCCAGCCGTTTCAGGTCAGCACTCCTTCAGCATTCAGTAAACTAAGTTTGCAGCGGAACTTCAGTCCCATGATGCTCTCTCAGAGCTCATGGTCATCACGGTAAGTAAATCGCATGATCGTCAAATGCTTTATAAATCTCTCTGGCATTCTCGTCATGTGTGGGTCGGTCTCTGCTCTCTTCAGGAGCGCGTCCCCCTGCCTGTCGAACCGCTCGTCTCCTCTGAGCGCTCCGTCCCCCAGCATCTGCGCAGACGAGCCCTTCTCTGACGGAGTGGACGTTCAGGTCACTAATCTGGACTACAGGATGTCACGCAAGGACCTGCAGCAAATACTGAGAGACGTGTTTGCTAAACACGGCAGAGTGAGTCGCATTTCAAAAATTAAAAACCTGAGCTCATTGAAAGAGAGCTTCATTACTGCGTGTGTGTGCAGGTGAAGAGTGTGGATCTGAGTCCTCACACTGACTATCAGCTGAAGGCGCGGGTGCACATGAGTTCGCTCCAGCAGGCCATTGGTGCCGTCAGTCTGCTGCATCGCTATAAAATCGGCAGCAAGAGGATTCACGTGTCTCTCGTCACCGGAGCCAGTAACAAATCTCTCACCTGCCTCAGGTATCACACACATGCTCTGCTTCTTCTTCCTGTCTTCTGTGCTCGGTCTCTTCCGGTTGTAGATGTGAATGTGTTTGTTCCTCAGCTCTGAGATCATCAGCATCCTGCAGGACGCTCCGGCCAACTGCCTGCCTCTCTACAAGTTCACAGAGACGTATGAGAGGAAGTGAGTGGCTCGCTCAGACGCTTGCACGGTCCCGTGTGTTTGACTCGACTCCTGACCGCTGTGTGTGCGCTGCAGGTTCGGTCGTAATCTGGTGGTCAGTGATCTGTACCGGCTGCCGGAGGTGGTGTGTGTGCGCGAGCAGGGCGGCGGGCGGCTTGTGTGTCTGCTGTCCAGCACTCAGGCCCGGCAGAGCCCGCTAGGATCGGCACACTCTCACGACAGCTCCAACACCACCAGTCCGGTTCTGTTCGAGGAGCTGGAGTACCACGAGCCCGTCTGCAGACGACACTGCACTCAGCAGGACTTCAGGTCAATCTGGGCGCGCGTATATTCAAGTTGCACATTTTGGAATGAGTCATTTTTTTGTGCAATTGAACGAGCAAGGTATAACGGCTGACAGGACAGAAAAAATGGTTTCTACTGACATATGGCCTGGCGACGTCTCATCTGAGTGCAGTTCACTGTTGTTCTACTGAAGCTCCTCGTCAAGTGCGCGTCTCCCATTTGATGTGGTTGTAAAGATGTTCTGCGTCTAAATAAATGCAGTTCTTCTCAAGAAATAAAGAGAAGCAGCAGTGAGTGGGGTGGCCAACCCTAGCTCCGCCCCTGCATTAAATATTTAGCGCGTTAAACTGAAAAAATGAATCGCCTGCGTTAACGCTCTAATAACTTTGACAGCACTGTTATTATATGAGCTCTGAGATTGTGAAGGGTTTGTAATTGGATGCTGACATTATTATTTTTTTGTGTGTGTGAAGGCATGACTCTCCTGGCCAGCCGTTTCAGGTCAGCACTCCTTCAGCATTCAGTAAACTAAGTTTGCAGCGGAACTTCAGTCCCATGATGCTCTCTCAGAGCTCATGGTCATCACGGTAAGTAAATCGCATGATCGTCAAATGCTTTATAAATCTCTCTGGCATTCTCGTCATGTGTGGGTCGGTCTCTGCTCTCTTCAGGAGCGCGTCCCCCTGCCTGTCGAACCGCTCGTCTCCTCTGAGCGCTCCGTCCCCCAGCATCTGCGCAGACGAGCCCTTCTCTGACGGAGTGGACGTTCAGGTCACTAATCTGGACTACAGGATGTCACGCAAGGACCTGCAGCAAATACTGAGAGACGTGTTTGCTAAACACGGCAGAGTGAGTCGCATTTCAAAAATTAAAAACCTGAGCTCATTGAAAGAGAGCTTCATTACTGCGTGTGTGTGCAGGTGAAGAGTGTGGATCTGAGTCCTCACACTGACTATCAGCTGAAGGCGCGGGTGCACATGAGTTCGCTCCAGCAGGCCATTGGTGCCGTCAGTCTGCTGCATCGCTATAAAATCGGCAGCAAGAGGATTCACGTGTCTCTCGTCACCGGAGCCAGTAACAAATCTCTCACCTGCCTCAGGTATCACACACATGCTCTGCTTCTTCTTCCTGTCTTCTGTGCTCGGTCTCTTCCTGTTGTAGATGTGAATGTGTTTGTTCCTCAGCTCTGAGATCATCAGCATCCTGCAGGACGCTCCGGCCAACTGCCTGCCTCTCTACAAGTTCACAGAGACGTATGAGAGGAAGTGAGTGGCTCGCTCAGACGCTTGCACGGTCCCGTGTGTTTGACTCGACTCCTGACCGCTGTGTGTGCGCTGCAGGTTCGGTCGTAATCTGGTGGTCAGTGATCTGTACCGGCTGCCGGAGGTGGTGTGTGTGCGCGAGCAGGGCGGCGGGCGGCTTGTGTGTCTGCTGTCCAGCACTCAGGCCCGGCAGAGCCCGCTAGGATCGGCACACTCTCACGACAGCTCCAACACCACCAGTCCGGTTCTGTTCGAGGAGCTGGAGTACCACGAGCCCGTCTGCAGACGACACTGCACTCAGCAGGACTTCAGGTCAATCTGGGCGCGCGTATATTCAAGTTGCACATTTTGGAATGAGTCATTTTTTTCTGTTTAGTTTCAGTAAAAGCTGGAGATGAAGGTCTGAGGTTACGATGTTTCTCTTCTGGTTTCAGTGAATCTGATTTTGATCCGGATTCTTACATGATCCCGTTTGTTCTGGTGTCTCTGAAAGTTCTGGCTGCTCATGTCCACAGTTTACTGCAGAGTCACGAGGGAACAGTACCGCTGCTCAGGTAACACACACACTTTCTCACACACACACACACACACTTTCTCACACACACACACACACTTTCTCACACACACACTTACACACACACACTTACACACACACACTTACACTCTCTCACACACCAATGTGGGTATATATTCAGTGGGTATATTTTATTTATTTTTTTTCTCATTTTTTCATGTTGGTGTTTTATCTTTAACTTGGATGTTATAAGTTGCACTGAGTAAATACAGCTGGATAAAACAAAAACTGTGTCCCTCTTCATTTCAGGCTGCAAAGCAACACAATGTGATTATTTGAAAGGGGGCTGATTCTCTTCTAAACCCACTGTATTTCATTGGTCCGTTAATGTCTTGCAAATGTGACCGTTTTCTGTCTGTACACAGTTTCCCAGAATGCTATGCAGCAGAGTTCAGTCCTTTAGCTGTTGCAGAGGAGGGGAAGCTGGAGGGAAGCGTCCCGTTAGAGCACCTCATCACCTGCATCCCTGGAGTCACTATCGTAACGGCCCAGAACGGCTTCAAGATCATCAAGTGGATTCACAACAAACCCCCGCCGCCCAACGCAGGTAGGTGTGTGTGTGCGTGTGTTCTATCGCCATCATCACTGTAAGTGAAAAAACCCGTTTGTGTTTGTCAGATCCGTGGCTGCAGCGCAGTAAGAGTCCGGTTGGGAACCCACAGCTGATCCAGTTCAGCCGAGAGATGGTGGATCTGATGAAGAACCAGCCGTCCTGTTTGGTGCCCATCACAAAGTTCATTCCAGCGTATCACCACCATTTTGCCAAGCAGTGCCGTGTGTCCGACTACGGATTCTCCAAACTGCTGGAGCTGCTGGAGGCCGTTCCTCACGTGCTGCAGGTCTGAACACAAGCACAGCTTTTCATTCAGTTCACAGTTTTAACATCTGTTTGACATTCTCTTTGATTCCTCAGCCACTTTAAAATAAATAAATATAAATATATATATATTAGGGTTGGTAAGAGATTACAATTTTTAATCCCATTAATTACATGATGTGATGATTAATTAATCGCACATCAAATTTGGCTGAGAAATTACTCACAAAAGATCATTTAAAGTCATTGTTGTGTAAAGCATCAAACTGACATTACAGAAAGTAGCTTCAGCAAGAAATATTTTGTTTGATAAAATGTATTACATATACTCTTTTGGACCATGAGGGTGAGTAAATGTTGACACAATTGTCATTTTTGGGTGTGTGAACTATACCTTTAATTAATTTTATTATTATTACTATGGAAATATGAAAAAAATTTTTAATGAAATGATACTCTAAATAATAAACTAAAACTGCCAGTAGGTGGTGGTAAATGTCTTAATGATCAAGTCATTTATTCGTTCAGATTGCTGATTCATTCAGGAGTGAAGTAAATGGTTCTGTATGAATGGTCCATTGAATCATTAGACTTGTTCAACTTGAAGCGGAGCATCAGCATCAGATCGATCGGTTTATGACATCAAAGTACCGCGAGAGCTATAGAGAGCAGACGACTCTGCATGCTTTTGAATTGCTCTCGCGGCCCTTTTAATGTCATAAACCGATCGGTCTTTGCAGCGCCGCTTCAAATTCAACGCGCCAAATGGTTCATCCAGTTCGTTCAAAACGTGCATTAAGAAATGAAATGCCGCTGTGTGTTGCTCGGACACGAACAGTTCTGCTTTGTCTTTATATTTTCATTGGCAAAATTTAGCAAAACAGACAACATTGTGTCTAAAATAACACAATATTAACTTCTTACTTACTGAACTGTTGTATAAGATCAGTGTTTGCACTTGTGTTATATTGCTCGTGTGATATTGCTTAACTAATATGATGTAAATATGAGACAAACTCAAACGGGCCCTTTTGCCCCATACCTACGTTCTCTCATCACACAGTGAGTTGTTGCCCCGCATCATATTTGTCATCAATCAGCTGTATGCAATGTCAGATGACCCACGTGGGTCTGGGGCGGGACAAGTGCGTTAAATGTTAATAATTTTAACGCATTATTTTTCACTGTAATTAATTAATCTAATTAACGTGTTAAATTACCAGCCCTAATATATATATGTGTGTGTCTGAGTGCAGATCCTGGGTTTAGGCTCCAAGCGTTTGTTGACGCTGACCCATCGTGCTCAGATCAAACGCTTCACTCAAGACCTGCTGAAGTTGCTGAAGTTTCAGGCCAGTAAACAGGTGGTGATCGGGGATTTCACGCAGGCGTATCACTGGTAAGCATCTCAGTACGGCGTCTCTCTGTGCTGCTGAAGCGTGAGGCATTGCTGCTTCATCCTGATCTGTGTGTGTGTGTGTCAGGTGTTTCTCCAGGAACTGGCAGGTGGTGGATTATGGGATGTGTGATCTGATGGACCTGTTGGCTGAGATTCCGGACACGACGATCACAGTCTCTCAGCAGGATGGTGACACGCTCATCTCTGTTCCCAAGAGAGGTGAAGCACTGCTGCAAACACATGAATGCGTGACGCAGCATAACACGAGCAGTTCGGCCGTTCACACCCAATGTGAAAATGGGGCCTGATGTGACAAAGTACAGCCAATCAGAACAGTTTCTCTCTGTTTGTATGCTGTGTCACACTTGTAACGCACTGCACAGGCGTCTCACTCACTCACTCACTCACTCACTCAAACTCTGATTTTATGAATGTTTACAGACAAAAGCTGTGCATCGCAAACTAAATCTCAAAACAAACTCATGTAGAAACGTGTGCCTCGTTGCTAAGAGACACGTGAAAATGAAAATGTGTTCTAGAATCGGCTCAAATTACCAATCATGTCTGATAGCGATCCACAGAATAGAATCAGAGTTTGAAGCTAAAAAATCAGTCAGTGTCCATCATGCACTACATGATTTTCTCGGTCAACTCCGACTCTCTTTATGGTTTTCCCTGTGGATCATCATACAGTAACTAATTCTAAACTCCCATGATTTGTTTCTCTTCATCTATCTTTGAGCACTAATTTGGTCAAATGAGGTTTCGGTGTGGGTGGGACTAGCTGGCACAACACCACAAAAATAACCAAGCGACCAACAGAAGTAGGGCGTGTTGCGGTCATGACTGGTTAGGCCACGGTGTACCTGCTGAACTCGTCTGTCTCCCTCAGAGCGGACGGCGGAGGAGCTGGAGCGCACGCGGCAGTTTGGCAAAGAGGTGGTCGATCTTCTGAGACATCAGCCTCACTTCCGGATGCCCTTCAGCAAATTCATCCCCACGTATCACCACCACTTCGGACGCCAGTGCAAGCTCTCCTACTACGGCTTCACCAAACTCATGGAGCTGTTTGAGGCCATTCCAGATGTTCTTCTGGTCGGTACACGAGTGCAGATGTGAAGGTGCTGGAGCACTCTGCAGCAGTCTCTGACACGCTGTGTTTGTGTCTCAGGTGCTGGAGTGTGGAGAGGAGCGGCTGCTGGCGCTGACGGAGGTGGAGCGTGTGAAAGCGTTAGCGGCTCAGCTGGTGAAGCTGCTTCGAGCCCAGAGAGACTCCGGCCTAGCTGTCAGTCAGCTGTTGAGTGAATACAGCAAGACGTTTGGCTACAGCCTCCGCCTGCAGGACTACGACGCCGCCACGCTGCCCGCCCTGCTCAACAAGCTCTGCCACGTGGTGAAGGTGAACGTCATTTCCTTTCATTGCACTGATAAGCCTCCTTAGATGATCTTTGGCACATTTTGCGCTCTTTCTCTCTAGGTGGTGGACGCTCCCGAAGGGAAAGAGGTGCAGCTGATTAACAGGAAGTCCCTGCGTGCCTTGACGTCTCAGCTGCTGGCGCTGATGATGTCACTTCCTGAGGATCGTGATCATCTCGCAGTGGAGGAGCTGAGGAAGCGGTATGAGCTCAGCTATGGCGCGCCGCTCAACCCCTGCGAGTACGGCTTCATCTCTCTGAGCGAGCTGCTGAAAAGCTTGCCTTACCTGCTGCAGGTACGAGCTACGACACGCATCCAGCGCTTCAGTCTGCCCTGATGCTGACAATGTCTCTCTTCTTCTGCAGCTCTCCGGAGACGAGCGGGATGATGGCGGAGCAGAGGAGTGTGTGAGGCTGACCAGACTTTACCAGTTCGCCCGCAGCATACGAGCACTGCTGCACACCTATCATTATAACCAAATCTTCCTGTCGGAGTTCTGCGGCGCCTTCAGCAAATACAGCGGGCGAGAGTTTCAGCCACAGACGTACGGCTATAAGACACTGGAGGAGCTGCTAGCCGCCGTGCCGCAGGTGCGCTAACACATGTGCTAGCTTTGCTGTGATTCAGCGCACTCGATTAAATGCCTCGGGATGAATGCGTTCCATTTTCTGTTTTGAACAGGTGGTCTGGATTAAAGGTCACGGTCACAAAAAGATCATCGTCCTGAAGAACGACATGAGAGGTAGCAGAATCCTTGACTTCTCCCTCCGTGTCTCCGTCACTCCTGTGAACTGCCTGTTCCTAAAAAATGGACAGTATATGTGATGACTGAATGGCTCAGTGAAAGAGCTCAAAGCCTCACTTTCTTCTTTTTGTAGATTATCATAACTGTTTTAAAGGGTTAGTTGTGTCATTTACTTGCTCACACATGCTTCCAAACCTGTATGACTTTCTTCTGTGGAGCATAAAAGGAGATATTTAATAGTTTTTGTCTGAAGATGTGATGAATACTGTAGGATAAAGAATGCGTTCAATATAATTCAAGGTGTCAGACGGGTGACAGGAACACTGGATCACGTCTGACTCTGTCTGATCGTTGTCATGAAGTTCTAAGCAAAACGAGTAACTTTTATCCCGCATGATCTGACAATGAACTGAGCCAAATCCAATGACTGTTCTCAGAGAAGAAAAGTATGTTCCATTAGATTTGCAGGAAATGCATTATTAAATCAAGCTGAACGTGTGTGTGTGTGTGTGTGTTTGTAGCTCGTGGCAGTCCTGCGGTCACAGATAGTCCTATGGTCACTGCAGAGGAGCCGTGTCCTGATGAAGAGCCCCGGTCCGCCGACAGCCCCGCCAGCGGTAAGGACTCTGTCGATCACGCTCCGTTAGCCTGTGTGTCCTCATCAGTGCGAGCTAACGATCTGTGTGTGTCCCACAGGTGAGATGGAGCTGCTGTGTCTGGGTTCTGGTTCTCCGGTGGATCTACTGTGTGCTCCGGTCCCCTCCTGCCTCCCGTCTCCTCAGCTGCGGCCCGACCCGGTGCTGCTGCAGCCCAGAGATCTGATCTGCTTCGAGCCGCATCCACTCGGTCCGTCTGAACGAGAGCCGGTTCACGATCGGCAGCCTCAGTCGGCCAACGGTCCCCTCGTGGCTTCGGCTTCTGAAAACGGCCCAGATCACGGAGCGAGCAATGCGGCAGAGCCCTCGGGCAAGAAAACGTGCGTCACAGACAGTCCCGGCCGGCGAACGGCACGCAACAAGGTTAAACTAGCGGCTAATTTCTCCTTCACATCCGCCCTGTCAGTCTGATGCTGAGCAGGTCACGTGAGCTCTGATAGCATGAGGAAGATTTGTGACGCGTGTTATTCTGTGAGGCTAGCAGACGTTCTGTGTGGTGAATTTCATGACTCTGTTCTAAGTTTGATTTGTCTGGACTGCAGCAGACCTCGTGTTCTTCATTCATGTTTCTCTCAGTACGAGGAGCTAAACAACCCACTGCTCCTCCACGCGCAATGTTTTTTCTTTACTGCAGTTGCTCGTTATCAGTCGTTAGCTTGAGGCCTGAATCGTGCAGACCGCAGCTGATTGGTGGATGTCACTCTGAGCTGCTGTGAGCTGAACTGTGAATCTTTCCTCCGCGTGCGTCTGCTGAGACGTGCTGTCGCGCCTTTGTTTTGAGACGTTATTTGTGTTGTTTGAAGCACATGGACTCCGTCTGATGAAATGGAAGAATGAGTTTGCTGGAAGGTGGGATTCACTTTATTCTTTTTCAATCTGAGATCTCAAACACTCACAGATGCTTTTGTGTTAAGTCTGTTTCAGAGCCAGAGCTTGTTATCCAAGGGCCTTCCTCCCTTTTAACTGATTGATTAGTCAAAGCCGCCCGTCTCGAATTGCTTAAGTTCATATTGTGAATGAAGTCTGTGTTTATTGAAACTCTTACAGAAGTGTTTAGTTTAAGATCGTCTCAGCTGCTTATCGGAGGATATTCACACTTGTCTTACAGTTTCACTGGCGTCCAGATGAATTATGGGAGTCTGTGTGATGAAGTTCAGCGGGCCGAAGAGAAACACCCTCGTGTTCTGCAGGCCGAGGCAGTGTGTCGTTTTACGGATGGTTTTTTTTGGTCCGGAAGTTGCTTTGATAGTTCTATGCACATGGTGCATAAACCCTTGTTTGAAAGCGGTCGTTTATGAGTCGCTGCAGGCTTTTACTGCGTTTCTTCTTTTATGCATTTTGGCAAAATCGTGCTAATTAGATGTTAATCAGTGTAACTGTTCCTCTGGAAATGCCAAGGTTGTTTACTTGAACCTTGAGTTAGTGTGTTCGGTTGCGGTTTGCTCTCCGCGGCGGCTCTCTGATGGCTTTTACAATGGCTTGTATCAGCCTTGGCGCGGGACACTTCTGCTAACGGCTTAGGGTCACAGTGGGTTGATTTGTGTAAATGTGTTTTGTTTGGCGTATGTTTCGGCTCGCAGCAACACGAGGAGCTCAGACGTCGGCTGTCTGTGAGAATCCTGTGTCTGAACGCTCATGTTTGCCGTACCGTGGCTGTTGAACGCATTTGTGTTTCTTTTAAGGGTGGCTCTCTTTGGCCAATGTTTTTGGAAGCCTTCAAAATGCTACCAGCGGAAACTTTGCGCTGAAGTACGTGTGTCTCGGTGATTTTATGCATGTTTGCATAACGTTTGCCTCATGCTGTTTATGGATATATTTGATTTATGCAGAAATGTGACGTGATGTACGTGTGTGTGTGTCTCGTCTTTAGTGTTCTCTCTCACTTCTGTCAGACGACCACAATGAACCCAGAAGCCTCTCAGATTGACGGTCGCTGAAATTAATGAGCTTCATGTGAAGTAACGTGGACGTTCAGCCTCAAGACACTGGAGGTCTTGTATGATTTTAGTCTCCACCAGAAAGTCCTGTTAGGAGTTTTTTTTTATTTCTATGTAATGACCAAATTTCTGTCATGTATAATAAATATCACAAGCATCATTTTGTGTCCTGCTTTCAGTTGTGTTCCTCTTGTCGAGTATCGCTGCTTTTCTGATGGTTTCCAGCGGTTAATAGTCCAGTACGAGCTGTTTGGGAATGGACTGAACTGCATCTCCGATCATTTAGGGAAGAACTTTTGTCTCAAACCTACGACACACAGGGGTGCGACTGCACATCTGCTGAGAGGTTTGCAAGATCTGTGTTGGCTGCCATCTGAATATTATTTAAAGGGGTCATATGATGTTGCTAAAAACAACATTATTTGGTGTAATGAAATGTGTTAAATTCTTTGAATATAAAAAACGTACGTACAGTCTGTGAGTCAGAAGCGCCGGCATTGTAGTCTACTCTCCCAGGATCAGGACACAGTCCTCCATAAAATGTGCTGCACACACACTCCAAAGAGAAAGGAAAACTTCAAACTGCATCATATGACCCCTTTAAAATGTTTTCGTTTATATTTTTGTATACTTTCAACCCTTTACGGACACCTTGGCAATTGAATCACCATTGGCTAGTAAATGTTTGTTTACTCGCCTGTGTGTGTGTGTACATTCACATACATACAGTATATGTTTGTAAAATGGCACAGCTTTTTAAAAATCTGAAAGTACACTCTTGAAATATTGTGATAATCAAGTATTATTTAGTGATAGAACTTTAGTAATTAGAATTAAAACTTGGTAACCATGTATGAATGCATAGACATTTGAACTGAATTTAGGACTGGTGGTGGTGCTTTTTTGGTCATCCAGTGTTTCTGTAAAAAAAAAAAAAAAGGGAAAAAACTAACAATAATACTGAGATGATGATAATAATACGAATTCTACTAATAAGAACAGTATAAAACGCACAAAGGATTAATGAGCTGCGGGATTCATGAATATTAATCAGGTTGTGTGCGTTTGCTCGAACTGATTCGCTGAAATCAAATCGGGGAGGATAATAGGTGAGCACCAGCCAATGAGATTGCCGTTTGTGCATTAGTTCCGCCCACAACCGGAGAACCTGGCAGTTTTTAAAAGCTGAAGAATTCCAAAGGAACTCTGTTATTTTGACAGGAAAATACAAGTAAACGATATTCTATGTAAGACTCTCGCGCGCTCTGCTCTCACCAAAGCGACGGCGAGTCGTGCGCCGTTACGCTAGAGTTCACGGTACGTCAAACACAGGTGTGCTGCGCATCCATTCAGATGAACTGAAAAATATCACAGCTCGCTTGACGGAGAGTGAAACTCTGAAGCGCTCAGT